CGCCGGAAGTCCGCCGCCCGACGAACACCGGTCGGGCAAATGCGGAGGCGCCGAGCGCCCATTTTTAAACATAACCGAAACACGCGCTTATTAAACCGCTGTTTAGGCGCGCGTAAACATCTCGGATCGACGACGCGCTCGGATAACCGACTCGACCGTTACCGAAAATACCCGAGCCGCGCGCGCCGCTTTGAGATATTACCGTTAGAACAATACGCGAATTACGCAGACGCGCGCGCCGGAGAATTAGTATAAATAGAGCGCGTTTCTGATTATCGAGACCAGACCTTTCCGATCCAGCAGAGTCAGTAAGACGTCTGAAACCTTCCAAAATCCTGATAAGGCTCCTAAGAGAAAGAACAACGGGGTTGGGTGTACTCAGCCTCCGCCGAGAGTTTGCGGCATCTCTACGAGCAATCCTGACACCACCGCAATTAAGAGGTATACGGGATCGGGCGTACTCGACCCAGCCGAGAGTTCTCGGCCCCTCGCTAGCTTTTCGTCCACCGTGTGCATCGGCAGCATTCTCGTGGCAAGGGAGTTCCCTACCACGGACGGGAGTTCTCGTCGGCCGACGAGAAACATCCCGAAATCCGCACCCGCGATCCCGATACGCGAATAAAAGCTGACTATTATACAGTTCGACGGACCGACTATTAGCCGCCATACTTAAGACCGACGCGCCATTGATACGGCGCGCTAAGTCCCGCGCCGAGGGATGATCCACATCCCTACCGCGACACCGATCGACATACGCGATCAATACATACGCGTCGAAGAACCGCCCACCGGCCCGACCAAAATTACCGCCCGGTAGCTAACGGAACCTGCCGGAATCGCGATCCGCGATCCATAATCGATATTCTATCGATCCGCCGAAATCACGAACCGCGCAACGCATCCGTGCGTTGCATTAGATGCACCGCACCCGACACGACCATACCGCTGTACATCCTGCATCTTACCTTATACAGATTCACACATACTAATGCGCTTATAAACATTTATACACCGCACACCGCCGTACAGGCGACCGCTTCACGCACACCGCTGTACACCGACACGCACTCACACGCTTGTATCATTCGCTCATATCTACGTAACGATACTCTTGCGCACGACTAATTATTCTTATACATTCTCGCGCTCACTCACCCGTCATTCGTCTCGCACGCATACCAACACCCACGCCCACCTATACACATTTATACACATAAACACACACGCTGTACCTAAACACCACAACACGCAATAAATTATATTCTACCTAACATCACTTTCGTTCGTCTTTCGATACCCTTTCAGGAGCCCCCGGATACCGACCGAGTTATCCGTCATCGCCTCGCGAAAGCGGTTTATTACAAGTACACTGTTATATATAACTTTAATCTTATAATTATATAATTTTATATAAATAATAATTGTGTTATGTATGTGGCGGATAACCACTACAAAAGTACGGGCGCGCAAAGAGCCGACGCGTCCCTGCGACAAGGGGGCGAGCGCGCGCGCCCCAAACTTACGCGATATCACGCGCTGAACACGTGCAAGCTCGATAAACTTCGGGAGTTTATCGCGACGCGGCGGCAACCGCGAGTCGTCGCCTATGAGTGGGATCCGTTGAGTGGTAGGATATAAGGAAGCGAGCCGATCGATATCACCAGTCGCGGCTCAACGCTCTTAGGCTAATATTACATGCGTCGTACGACGGACTTGTCGGACGTTCCGATTGGCTGACGACAAAACATAAGTGTGGTGCTTCCGTCGGAGAGTTACTACATTTCTTGTCGGAAAAAAGTTGGGCAAGAACGACCATTTTTGGCAGGGAAGCGATCGAATAATAGCGACATGTTAGAAACGTTATCAAGCATCATGAGGGAACCAATAAAAATAGATACATCATCACTACAAGCAGAAAAAACAGTACGTGCACCTGAATCTGCGCAATCACAAGACAATATAACTAACATAATAATTGTAATAGGAAATCTATTACGTGAATTTCCAGATAATGAAGGATTTTTATTTGCGTTAAAATTATTGCAATTAACTTCTGAAAAAGGAAACCAATTACGTAAGAAAGTATGAAGTTTATGTTGCGTTCCTTTTACTGAGTAATTACGTAATTGATAATATGCAAAATTACTCTAAGATAAACTCCAAAACTATATTGTGTTGTATGTGAATATTTTATATTCATTAAATTTTAATGTTTTTTCTTCGTTTATAATTAATATGATAAAGTACCACATAAGTGTGGTGCTTCCGTCGGAGAGTTACTACATTTCTTGTCGGAAAAAAGTTGGGCAAGAACGAACATTTTACGACAGTCGTAACAATTCTAACCTACGATTGGCGTGTGGAACGTGACTTCGGACTTCGGACCACCAACGAAAAAATTGTAACCTATAAAATGGAGATAAAAGATTACGTAAGTACATTATATTTTTTGTTTATAAAAATAACAAATATTATAACAAATATTATCATTTAATGCAAATGTATGAAATGCCACAAGTAGTACAATATAATAAAATTATTTGTAGTTGGACATTCCACGGAAATGTGTGATATGTAAAAATGTGATTCACAAAGAGGAATTAAAAAAACATACTTGTTTTTCTAATTATCCATACATTTGTGTGGATGAAAATGGATATTTATGCCCACAACGTGGTAAGCAGAACTGTCATTACTTGACTAGAATATTTTAAATATATATATTTAATAATTAATGGAATGAATTAATTATGTGATATAGAAGATGAAACCATTATATATGAACCAGCATCGTCACATTCTACTGCAACTGTATGCGGTAAATAAATATTTCATATATAATATTACTATATTTTATATTTAATACAAAAGAAATTAATATGCTACCTAAGATTATAAAAATATTTATATTACAGAAGACATTGAGGAGTTTCTTATATCAAATGTAAAAAAGAGAAGAGAACTCTGGGATCACACGTTGCCAATTACAAAAAGATCTCGAGATGTAATAGCAACGCACTGGCAGGAAATCTCGAAAGAATTAAACGGTAAGTTTAATACCATTTAAGTACATATTATCTTTTAATCATAATTCATTTCTTTTGTCAAAGTGTGTTTTTAACTAATTTTATAGGAATTCTAACGCCAGATGCTGCTTGCAAAAAATGGCGATATCTTAAAGATTCGTATATGCGTATCCGTAACGATGTAACAAAGAAAAAGAGTGGTTCAGCTGTAAGTAAACCTGTCAAATAGAAGTGGTACGAATATATGAAATTCCTACATGATACACAGGATTCTCATAAGTTAGTATATTCAAATATTGTTTACACAGAAATAGTTATTGGCATTCTTTTAAAAATAAGTTTAAATATATTTTACCGACAAAGTTTTTTTGTTTTCTTATATTAATTTTTATTAATTTCTTTCTTTTAAAAGACGGAGCGATATGTAATAAATTAATAATATATGTAATGAAGTATTTTTTTATTATATTTTTATATATAAATTTTGCTTTATATTTCAGTACTGCTACTAACATTCCAAGTAAAAGCAGCGACTGTGCGTCAACAAGTGAAATATCAGAACTCGAAGAAGATGCTGCTCACATGCAAAAGCGACGAAAGCGATCGAATAATAGCGACATGTTAGAAACGTTATCAAGCATCATGAGGGAACCAATAAAAATAGATACATCATCACTACAAGCAGAAAAAACAGTACGTGCACCTGAATCTGCGCAATCACAAGACAATATAACTAACATAATAATTGTAATAGGAAATCTATTAAGTGAATTTCCAGATAATGAAAGATTTTTATTTGCGTTAAAATTATTACAATTAACTTCTGAAAAAGGAAACCAATTACGTAAGAAAGTATGAAGTTTATGTTGCGTTCCTTTTACTGAGTAATTACGTAATTGATAATATGCAAAATTACTCTAAGATAAACTCCAAAACTATATTGTGTTGTATGTGAATATTTTATATTCATTAAATTTTAATGTTTTTTTCTTCGTTTATAATTAATATGATAAAGTACCGTTATGTTTAAAATACTCTAACAATATTATATGAGTTTTTATATGGATCTGAAAACATATTTCTTATGTTTTATTTCTTATGTTTTTTATGTTTGTAAGTAGACCAAAGTTATATACCAAAGTAATAAGTATAAGTAGTATACCAAAGTAATAATATATTTTTTGTTCATTCTGAAAGAATATTTATTTCAGAGAAGAGAAGAGAGAAAAAGACTTAATTATTTATGACATTATCATACTTATAAACAACGTTTGTTATTTTAAGAACTACAATTAACAGAAAAAAGGAAATGTCATGTCTCAATAAAAATATATTGTTGTGCCTCTCCGGGTACAACGGGAATTTTGGGGATGATCCAAGGGTTCGGTTCGTCTTAGGAGTAGGGACTCCGATTGTCGAGAAACACGAGGCAGAGATTCCGTGCAAAAAGGATTTATTTGTACAGCTTACGTATCGTAGAGTTCGGTTTGGTGATGCTTCGGCGATGTAACAATGTCGGCGTTTACAGAATCTCACAGTTTCTTCAAGTATACGCGTCACCACTTAGTTTCGGAATACAGCCCCGAGGTACTCGTTACCTCTCTTTTTATGGTCCGAAAGTAGGTGATTTTTCGGTACTAGGTCGCGATGTCTTAATTGCATATTGCAACGAATTGCATATCTTGCATTTAATCGCGGTTTTGGGAGCGCGTGTAACAGCTTACGAAGTGCTGAATTTGCACTGTGCTCCTTTTTTACTTTTATAGGTCGTAATTACGTTATTCGATTTCGAGTTACGACAAT